GATACCCTGGATTTTGGATGGCTCCTGATTTGGGGAGCTGCTTTTGGGGCCACATCCACCTTGGTTCGTGAGGGCCTCCAAGAGTCTGTTCCAGATGATCTTGCCTCTGAAGTTTAAGGGATAGATTTTGTAGAGATAGGTGGATGGATCGTTGATTCATTCATTTATTGTCTGAGAATATAAAGATGACCAAGGTCTTTACTCTCAAGAAGCTCACAGTCTAAGGAGGGAGAAATACAGGTAATGACATAGTAGTGGCTAATTTTTTGAGTGCTTATCATGTGCTAGGTGCTATAGGAGACTATATTTCAAGGCTCTTTGAAGTTGGCAGTCAGAAATAACATTTTTCCACACAGATATGTGATTTAGTGGTCGTGGGAAAAGAACCAAAGATTTGAGAGTCAGATGTCACCTAGAATGTTATCAAAACCCAGAAGCACGAGAGTCGGCTTATTTTAGAAACTGGGTGCCTCATTTGGGAGAAGATGTGAGATGAGCTCCAGGGACAGGCTCCATGGGAGACTAAGTTTGGATTCAAGTTGGCACCCCTTGTAGGGCGTGAGGGGCCAGCCATACACTGCCGTCCCGCTTTAGTGTCCTTTTCTTCTAATCTGAACAAGTCAACCCTGGTCACAGAATATACTGTGCAAGGTGGTTCTGTAAGAGATGCTCAAGGCTGAAAGCAAATGTGCACGCACAGCATTCATTTTGCACAATAACACAACTGCTTCTTTAAGCATCGGTTGCTGGAAAACACAAGCCTTGTCATCAGAAGATTCGGCACCCCCAAATCCTTCCCACAGCTTGTTCTTTCTCCCCAGAACAGGGTGCCTCTTCACTCCAACATCAACTCTCTGTCCTCTAAGAATGTCCAAAATTTTCCCCCCGCTCTCCAGATCACATCTCTGCCTTGTATTTCTTTATGAAAATCTTCATACGAGGTGTGTATTAAGGTGTCCTTAAACCACATCCCTTGCTTCCCTTAACTCACAGACCACTGTGATTCCTTCAGAGATGGTGAAATTTGTGTATGTGAAGCTACTTTTTATGTTATTTGATGAAATATTACCTCTGACCTTCTTGAAACCTTTTAGTTAATTTCAGAACCCATTTTGCCTATCATTTAACGATTTTAAAAGTCGATTTGAAAAAATCTTAACACCATAGGAAGGAATGAAAAAGGAACACTATAAGGGTGGCTTTTGAAAATTATTCCTAATAAAAGTTAAAGGAAATTTAAACAAAACAAACTTTTGTTTTGCCCATGATGCTACCCCAACTCCAGACTGATTTCGTTTATCGAACTTCTCTTCTAGCTTTTACCTTCACCATTGTAAACTTTTGTTTTCTATCCCTTGAGGCTTTTGTAAACACTTTTTCATTTTGCAATATATTTATTTTTAGTGTTTGTGTAATATATTCCATCAAATTGATATTCTATAATTTATTACCCATTTTTTTAGTGCTAGATATTAAGGTTATTTCTATTTTATGTATTATAAATAATAGGAGCAAGAACATCTTTGTATATGTAGCTTTTTTCCTACATCTAAATTATCTCAGGATAAATTCCCAGGAGTGGGATTAGTGGGTCAAAGGGTACAAACAGCTTTATGGCTCTTAATATTTATGGCTAAATTGCCCAAAGGGTCATTCTAATTTATAGTACCACTTGCAACACATGAGAATAGAGTAGCTGTCTCTCTCAGCCCTTCCAACACTGATTTCTTTAGTCAGTAGTTTTGGGCAAATTTAATAGGTATTAAAGGGTAACTCATTACTGTTTTTAATTGTTAGATTTTTTATTATCACTATTGGACTTTTTTTCTTAAGTCTGTTTCTCATTACATTCTGTTTTGTATGGTTTGCTTTTCATGTCAGAGGATTATATTTTTTGACCAGGTGGAATTTAAAATATTTCATAATGAAAATGTCAAATGCAATTAGGACAGAGAGAAGAATTGATGAAGCTGCCTAGATTCATTACCCAGATTCAACAAATAGCAAGATTTAGCTACATTTGCTCTACTTACCCCTTTTTTTCCTCTTCCGTGTAATTATTTTAAAGTAAATCTCAGACATTTTGCATATATTTTCTATATAATTCACTATACGTCTCTAAAACATGTGGACTTTTTCTTATATAATCATAATGCCATTGTCATACCTAGCAAAATTAATCATTTTTCCTTAGTATCATTTAATAACCAGTCTGTAATAAGATTTTCTGAAATGTCTTTAAAATGTCTTTTTACTGATGCTTTATTCCAATCAGAATACAGGGGAGGTCCATTACATTTGGTTGTTATGTTTCTAAAGTCTTTTAACCTAGAGCACATTACTCTCTGTTACCCACCCTCCCCTACCCCCGTCTCAAGTTTATCCACACCCAGTGACATGGCAAGAACTGAGTCAATTGTCCTATAAAAGTTCCCACTTTCTGGATTTAATTTTTGTTTCTTTATTAGTTCTAGAAGCTTGACTAGACTCAGTTTCAACTTTTTTCCTGTTGTAGAGGGAGGCAAGAATACTTCATGGCGTTGCTATGTCTATGTGATTGATTTGGTATTGTTTCAGGGGCACATAATATCTGATTGTGCCACTTTGGGTAATGCTAGGGATGACCATAGATTCAGATGGTGAAAGCCCCAAACACAGTTGTAAAGTACCTTACCAGTTTTGATGGTTGCTTGAGGCAGTTATTTCATAGGGATTACACAATGGTGATTTTTCTAAATCTATCATTCTTTCCCCTTTTTAAAAACAAATTCTTCTGAAAAGTTTAACTTTTTCCCTCATAAATTAGGACCCTTTAGTAATCTCAAAATGCAATTTATATAAGAAAGGCAGGATAAATGCTCTATTCTTTCTTCTAAATTGCCAAGTTTCTAAATAAGGGGTTTGTGCCCTTGTCACTTCCAGTGGTGGCTAATGAGTTGCTGCTGTTTTGTTTTCGAAGAACTAGGGTTTTTATAGATATACGTATTCCATACAATTCCATGTGTTTTACGCAATTGCATTCATTATTATTATTATTATTTTTGATGTTCAAATTGTCCCATCCTTGGCTCAAGGGAGACCGACCCTTCATGTCCTTGTTTTCAGGCATAACAAGGTGTTTCAGGTTCATCTAGTATCTTTTTTGCTCTTTGAAATGGGCCATTCTTTCAAGATATTCTGTGTTTTTTGATGAGGAATAGTATTTGAAAACTATAATCTGGATATATTATGTGCTTTTTGTTATTTTTAATTTTTCTCAGTGGACAGAGTTAGGAAATGCATATTTAACAAAAGAAAATAAAAGATTATAAGTTCATGCTAATATTTTTATTTCAAAGTTAGTAACTTTCATTTTACTTTTTTGATTTCATGCTTGTATTTTTCTCTTGGGCTAAAAATCTTGATTCTAAACATTATACTACAATATATTAAATGATTTCAAAATAACAATACCAATATTACTACTAATGATTTTCCTAGTGAGAGATTTCTTTGCAGTTCTGTTTATCTTTAGAATACATTCCACTAGAAAAATATAGTCAAATTATCTTGTCCTAACAACACTTGCATTAATTCTTTTCACTAATTTTATGTACGGTTAAGTTCCTTTATTACAGTTTGTTTTGTTTTAGGATTCACTTTTTTTCCTTTTTGGTTTAATTTTATTTTTTGAACCTGTAAAATGTGATTTTAAAATTAAACCTATATAACACAGTATTATCAGAAAAGTCTTTCTTCTTGTTCTGTCTCCATCTAATTTTCTCCTTCTCCCTTTTGTAACTATTTCTTAATAATTAAGGTTTGTTTTATCTTTGCAGTGTTTCCTTTTGTAAATATATATTCATGTATATGTCATTACCTGTTTTACATCAAAGCCAGCATACCATGTATTCCTTATAATACACCATATTAATGTTTCAGAGATCTTCCTTTTTTCTTGAAGGTTATATTGTATCCATTGTTAAGATGTACCATGGTTTGTTTAACCAGCCACTAAATTGATGGAGTTCAGTTTTCTTTGTATTTTCTAAAAAATCAAAACCCTTTGCCCAAGTCATTTCATATTTGGCCCATGTGTCTTTGGGATCTATTCCTAGAACTAAAATTGCTGGGTCAAGGGGTAAAATGCAGTTGTATTTTTGTACTTTTTCTTGCTATTGCTTGATTCTCTTCTATAGGAATTGTGCCATTTTGCACTGAGAGGGCTTTTTAAAAGGATTTTGCAAATGCTCAAATTTAATATACAGTATAGTTGGAAAACTAAGGCATTCTTCAAAATCAGAAGTTATTGACTGAACCTACACACTGTTCCTACTAGTGTCCAAGATGTGGGCTGGTAAGAGTACCCTGGTTTTTGCTTTTTTTTTTGTCTATGGAGACATCATGATATGTAAATGAAAAATAGAGTAGTCTAAGAGAGAATATGTGTATTAAAAAAACAAAGGTGAAAACCCAACTCAAGTCTCTCTCTTTAGGAAGCCTTTCCTGCTTACCCCAGGCTGCGTGAGTCCCCAGTCTACTGAATTTCATTAGCACTTTTAGTGACAGTGACCCTTCCCCAGACCAAAATTTTTGACACCTGGTTGAACAAATATGAATGTACTAAGAATAACAGAGCTGAATGTTTGATATGCTGGGTGCCTCATAAATTTAAGCTGAATAATTATTTTATGTAGAGTTGTATCTGCATGTCCCAAAGCGTGTTCCCTGGGACACCTAAGGCATGCTAATAAGGGTTATATGGGAAAATCATTGTGGATAGGTTAGGTTAAACAAACCTAATGACAGGTGACTCCAAACTCATGTCTGATGTCCCAAGCTTATCTGGGCACAGAATCTCCTTCTTATGGAGCATCTCATGTTAATACTGTTGTTCTATGAAATACAAAGAACCAAGGTATAGGTTCTGTTTAAATGAAAATGCAAGGCATCTCTTCCAGCTGATTAACTTGTACAGTTCTATATTTTTGACTAACGGTTTTCAATTTGTTTCTTTCTAGATTGAATCATTAAAGAAGAAGTTGCAACAGAAACAGCTCTTAATATTGCAGCTTTTAGAAAAGATATCTTTCTTAGAAGGAGAGGTAAGAAGCTGTGTTTCTTTAAGGTGGTGTCTTCCCTACCATTAAATTTTATGTTGCTGAGCCTGCCACTGACACTTAATTAAAAATATGGCCATTTCCTGGCCTTATAAAATTGACTGAAGGTTAACTGCCAACACAGAAAATGAGGTTCTGACAGCTAGTTTTTCTTTACCACTTGGCCCTCCTCATTTTAGCTTGCTGCTCACCTCTGCTTTTTGGCTCTCATATTTCTTGTTAAGAATTTTCTTAGGAAGTCAGATAAGCTTTGATTAATACTGATAATTGCCCACATTTGTGTAGTGCTTTATAATTTGTGAAGTTTGTTCACATACATTCCTCATATGATTCTCTTAGCAACTTTAAGAAAGGCAAGACAAGGATTATTATCTCTGCATTAACCAATACTTTTAAAGGAGGCACAGAGAAGGCAGGTGGCTTTGCTCAGGATCACTCAGAGCCAGACTGAGAGACAGACTCCTAATCCAGTGTACTCTTATGATACTGAGTCAACATGTTTTAGTGGTGACTTAATTACACCTGAAGCTTTTATGCTATTTTAATATTCCTGACTTTCTGGCTTTTTGAAAGTCATTTTAGGGATTTTGTGTAGGTTCCAAAGAAGAAAATTATGGAGTCGGAAGAATCTTAAGAGCTTAGGTATTAATAGAAGAAGAAGCCAAAATCTATTTGCTCTGAAGGGTCTTTATTAAGAGCTTGGCATTGAGCCTCTTCCTTCTGAGCCCCTATGGATCTCTCCATGTCTGTCTCTTCATTGTAGTCTTTCCCCAGTGGGAGGTAGCCCGGAAGAGAAGGAGGAAGTAAGGAGCCAGGGAAGAAGCGACATTCGTCAAGCTCCCAGTATTCGCCGGGCGCTGTTAATTACTTTTCATATCCTTTGTATAACATTGAAGTTGAGAGTGGAATCAGGCTTCTGCTTCTTATTAGCTGGATGACCCTGGGGAAGTTTCTTATAAAATGAGGATGATAACTGCACAGGTGTGTGACCATGCAGTGAGAATGCGTAGAAAGTGCCTGGCATGTACCAAGCACATAATGTTTAACTTATTAGTGTTGTTCTCTTTTTATTAAGAGGGATGCCCTATGAGTTTTATTATATTCCCCCATTATTAGATGGGAAAATTGAGGTTCAGGGATGTTAAGGAACCTGCCCAAGGTGACAGGAGAGATGGGTAAGCCTGAGTTCAAAGCTCGAGTGCTTAATCACTGTGTTTATAGGGGTGGTGAGCTGAGTCTTCATTTATTCTGTTTTTGAGGGGCTACCTACAAAAGTCATAACTAGAAGTCGCTCTTGGCCCATGGGGCCCTGGTAGCACATTCAAGGCCCAAGAATCTCAGTGTCCTGACAGCAGGCTGAATGGATACTTGTCCTACCCACCCTTACCTTCCCCTCCACAGTCACTGAGTCCAGCTCTAGCCTTATGAATGGACATTTCTATTTCTAAGATTGCCCTCTGAAATTGCAGCTCCCTGTGGTAGGAATCACTTCTTGGAATAAAGCTGAGAGACAGAGAGTGAGTGACCTGGTAGAAGCTTATGGGTCTAGAGAGAGGATGGTTGCAGGAGAGAGGAAAGAGATGCTGACAGGAGAGGCAGAAGGCCACCCAAGACAGCGCCCGCTCCCCCTTCCCCTGGCTGTGCTAGTTACGCCAGCTCTCCTACTGGTAGATTATGAATTGTCTGTCCTAGGGAGTACTGTGCATGGAGAAAGGCCTTATACACATTTGTGCTTTGTTTAATGCTCAATTTCTTAAGTTCATTTCTTTTAGTTTGGGTTGGCCAGCCCCTGAGATATGGATGTCAGTCCACACAGTTTATTTGGGAGACGATCCCAGGATGCCCCAGTAGGGGAGTCGGGCAATGAAACAGGGAAGAGACGAAAGCCAATACTGGGTGCCTTATTGAGGAGGTGACCTCTGTGCAGTTTCTAGGAGACGTGTGCAGCTGGCTCTGAGTTATCCTTTCCAAAAAGTCAGAACACTGGGGCATTTATACACTAACTCCTGTCAGTCATTGGTTGAGGCCTGCTCCTTGGGGTTGTGGCAATGCTGCCTGCTCTGGACAGAACCGACTAAAGTCTGGTGGTCAGAGAAACTCCAGGGAAAG